AGGAAGTACACTGCTGAGGGGAGCAGCGGGCAGGTCAGGGGAGGTCTGCCACACCATGTGGATCTCCTCTGGGGCAGGTGGGAATCGAACTCGTGCGGAAGTGGCTCAAGCTTCTTAGTGCAGTGATTTAACCCGCTGCGCCACCAGGGAGGGCCAGAGAGAGGTATTTTTAAAGTATAAAGAGAACCGATTATATCTGCCAACATTGCTTATAGAGGATTATTGAAAACACTGTTAGTAAACATTTATTTTAAAGGTTTAATTTTACTAGAAGAAACCTAAAAACTAAAACAAAATTGGTGTAACAGTTATAGTTGCCACCTGATTATTTTCATGTCCAAAACTTAATCTTTTTACACCTGCATACGTCAATTACTTGATCCAGTGAAAGTAGTGCTTTATCTTAGCATAGCTCCCTTTCCCATTTACTCACAAAATTTAGAATTGAAGAGCTCAAAACAAAAGTCAAGTTATTAACTTGAAATAAAATCTCAACTAACAACTAGTGCTTGAAATTGAAGAAAAACCAGCTGATCTATATCCATTACCTAAACAAGAAGGTGGAATCAGCATTCAATTTTTGCTGATTTTGATTTTAGGAGGTCAATTCCATTTATAGTATTCAATGATGCCACAGGCTATAATAATATGTGCATATTTATATGAAGCACAGTGTAGGATGAGATTAAAATACAACTTGTGGAGTCAAAGATGAATAATAAAAAATACAATAGAGATACACAGATACAACAAAACAATGAAGGATAATACAATGATGTGGAAAAGACCCTGCTCACACCCTGTCATGCTACCTAAAGCATTTTCATGATCAATGATGGAAAGCCTGGTTCATGTCCTCCTTTCTTGCTGCCATATTTCCAGTATTCCACCACACAAGCAAAGCAAGTGAACCTAGTGGCTGAGCTTCCTGAGCTCCCTTATTTCCCACAGAACTGGTGCTGGGCTAATAGCACAATGTTTGGGAATCAGAGAAGGGGTTTGGGCATCTATTTGTCCAGAGGCCACTGAGTTGATTTGATCCAGTGGCCAATGAAATGATTTAAATTTGTTTTACTTTTGAGAAAGAGAAAGAAGGTGGCAGCATCTCCTCCCCAGCCCCAGGGCAGCTGACTCTGTGTCATGGGACTTACTGGCCAGGAGACATTTCAACACCAGATCAAGCCTCTGCAGAGCAAATCCCATGACTCCATGAACTGCCTCAGTCACTGCTGTGCCAGAATGTTCTTATGAATAATACTGTTTAAGTGAGTAGGTCCCGAGATTACTTTTTCTTTTATAGAAATTTTATGGAAAGTGGGTGCTGGATCTCACAGGATTTGATTGATTAGAATAATTGTCAGTAATTTTTCAAGTCATAACTATTTTTCAGAAAGGATGTGAGATGACTTGCAAAAACACACACATTAAGATAAAGCTTAATGAATGAAAAAATTGGGGTCAAAGAGAGAGGGAAATCAAGGGCAGGGAAGCTAAAATGGAGCTAGGAATGAGGGCTGTCACCAAAACGAGTGCAGTTCAGCTCTGTCCTCGGTGGCTATGGTGGCAGATGGCTCTCAGGTTTCCAGGAGCAAGACAGTGAAGGCATTGTGTGGCCCGTGGTGACCTTAGCGTTCTAGAGAACACAAACAACTGCTCAGGAAAAGGTTTAGCCATTCCACACGCTGAGATCAGGGAGTTTTCCTTGTATGTGTGCCACCTTCAATAGGGTCCTCAACAATCCCCTAGGATGCCTACAGTGGCTACACAGCACTGTTTTA